CCACCTTAACAATAACGCCCTGCATCACTGAAGACACCTAACAGATATCACCCCATCAGCCTTAAAAACAACGGGGCAAAATTCAGCTCACTATTTTCCCACCCCCATAGAATTTGCATTTCCTTGAATAAAACCAGACTGCACAGAAATCCCTTTCACATGGCACATTTTCCCTGAACAGTTACCAGGGGCTGGAAAAGGCAAGGTGGGAGCAAAACCGGGGCCTGCGCCCGGCGAATGGTTGCCTTATCTCACAAGGCACATCTTGGGTGCGCTGCATTCCTTCTCTCCCAGGTGCAGTCTAAAATCATGTCCTCTGTCCCCATTTTTCTTTCACTTCTTTGAGTTTGGCAGACATTACGATTGAGCCCTAGATCATGCCTTCAGGTTTATGAGGACAGTAATCTGTCATCAGCACCTGCAGTGCCTTTTCTAGGGCACCGATGGCATGGATTCCCCTGACTCTCACTTTCTGACAAGTGATGGACCTCTCTCATCTCTAATCACGAAGGCTCAACTCCATCCTTTTCTTTTGTGACAACACAATATGTTGGGGGAATTTTTTGTTTGGTTTTTTTTTTCTGGCTCTGGGAAAATAACAAAGCACAGAGTTTCCCCAAAGAGAAAAGGCTGCAGAGGTTTTATCCATGTTACTCACCCGCCCTTGAAGACGAGAGGCACAAGGAGATGCTCCTTGGGGACCACACCTGATATCCACGTATCCAGCCTCTTGCTTTGACTTTGGTCGGCCACTCTCCAAAATTGCCTGTGGCAGAAACACGGTAATGTGGAAAATGAGAAAGGCAGCATAGTGTAGTGTTTAAGCACATGAGTAAACTTACCATATTTAATAGACTCTACGCACATATTCTTTTTTAAAATATATTTTTTATTGATTTCAGAGAGGAAGGGAGGAGAGGGAGATAAAAGCATCAATGATGAGAGAGAATCACTGATAGGCTGCCTCTTGCATGTCCCCTACTGGGGATTGAGCCCACAACCTGGGCACGTGCCCTGGACCAGAATCAAACCCAGACCCCTTCAATTCTCAAGCCAATGCTCTATTCACTGAGCCAAACCAGCTAGGGCCACATATTCGTTTTTTAAACTTTTCTTTGGAATGTAACATCCACAAACATGACCAACTTCCACAAATCATGCATATACAGCTAAATATATATTCACAAGGATTATACATAGGTATAAATAGCATCAGCTCAAGAATTAGAATATCCCCAGATGCCATCACAGGGCTTCCTTCCAGCAGCTAATTAGGCCCCCTTTTATCACCTCCTCTACACTAAGAAGAACCACTATTCTGACTTCCAATGATACAGATTAATTTTTTTCTGGCCTTTGAACTTTATATAAATAGGATTACACAATATGTACTTCTTTTTGTCTGGCTTGTTTTGTTCAACATTCTGCTTGTATGTTGTGGTAGGCAGCTGACCCCTAGTGATCCCACCTCTGGTTCATTATGGCTTTGTCTAATCCCCCCACCCGCCCCTGACGAAAGTGTATCTATTAGAAGAGGCAACATTGAGAGGGTGGCATTTCCATGATTAGGTTGTGACTTCCGTCTTGCTAGCAGACTCTATTGCCTTCTTAGCTTTCATGCTTTGATAAAGCAGGCTGCCATGTTGGAGATGCCCTTATGGCAAAGTGCTGAGGGGGGGCTCTGGTCAATAGCCAGAAAGGAACTGAGGCCCACCACCCAAGAACAGGCTGTGAGGAGCTGAAATCTGCCAACAGCTATGTGATGTTGAAAACAGATCTTGTCCCCATGAGCCTTCAGATGACTTCAGCCCAGCCAACGCCTTGAAAAGACCCGGAGGCAGAGGGCCTAGAGGAGCTGTGCCCAAATTTCTATCTCATAGACATTGAGACAATAAACGGGTATTATTTTAAGCCACTATATTTAGGGGCAATTTGTTACCAGCAATAGGTAACTAATGCATATGGTTCAACCATGTTTTTTTTTTGTTGTTGTTGTTGTTTTAGGGTTTTTTTGTTTGTTTGGTGTTAGAGAGAGAGAGAGAGAGAGAGAAAGAAATATCAATGATGAGAATCATTGATCAGCTGCCTGTTGCACCCCCCCTCCTGTGGATCGAGCCTGCAACTTGAGCATGTGCCCTTGACTGGAATTGAACCCAGGACCCTTCAGTCCACAGGCCAACGCTCTATCCACTGAGTCAAACCAGCTAGGGCTCTACCGTGTTGTTTTATTCATTCATTCTAATTTTATGTAGGGTTTGAAAAACCTTTTTTCTATAAAGGTCCAGATAGGAAATATTTTGGGTTTCGCAGACCAAAAAGCAAAATTAAGAATATTATGTGGGTATTTCTTTATAATTTTTATGAGTCACAAAATATTCTTCTTTTGATTTTTTTGGTAACCATTTAAAAATATAAACACCACCCTTAGCTTATGAGGGGGTGACTTATGAGCCATACAAAGATAAGCAGTGAGCGATATTTGGCCCCTAGGCCATAGTTTGCTGACCCCTGCTATAGAGGATGGTTTGGTTATACCACAATTTGATTATCCAATCTATTGTTGATGAACATTTGGATTGTTTCCAGTTTGTACCTATTCAAATAATGTAGCCACAAACATTTTTGTATATGTCTTTTGGAAAATTGTATGCATATATGTTTGATTGAAACTGCTAGATCACAGAATAAGCCAATATTCAGCTTAACATGCCAAATGGTTTTCCATAGTGGTTGTATCAGTTTGCACAGTATACATGAGTCCTTACTGGTCCACAATCTTGCCAAGAGTTGGTATTTTCTGTCTTTTCCTTTTGGCCATTCTACTGGAAATGTGTTTGTTGTTTAAGCTTCCCAGCTGCTTCTAATATTTATCCAGAATTGAAAACCCCTGTTTAACTGCTGTTTATCCTTCAGTAGGTAAAAACACATAAAATTGCTCTGTTTATAGATTTTTTTAAAGTTAAAAAATATTGGCTATTTCATATGGTTAAACAAATATTTCCTTCACATCTTACTTACGTTTACACTAAATGAAATTCAAACTGCATATGGGTTGAGAAAGCTCTTAAAAACTTCAGGTGAAATGATGTCTTTGCACCCGACCTTAGCCTAACGGCTGAGAAACAATGAAATGAGGTTTTTAAATTAAAAATTAATTTCAGCGATTTTCACATTTTACTATCACCCAGATCCTCAAAAGCTTGAGAGCAAACCAATGGCTTTTGCCCTCGTTACAGAGTAGAATCACCTGTGGATTTTTAAAACTTAAGTGTCCCTACCCAAACCTCAAAAATATCTTCATTCTTTAAGACTAAGGCGGCGCTTAGGAAAGTGTGTTTGTAAAGTGCTAATGCACAATATTGAGAACTCTTGATGTTGCCTCTCCTCCCATGACTTTTTTTCCATTCATTCAATCTAAGGAAATGAATGCTTTGGTCATTTTGTATACTTGAGAGGAAAGACAGCACCTGGATTTCAGTTCCTTCTAGAGTTTGGAGAGCTTGGTTGCATATGTGGTTGGAAAAAATGGCACTGTCTCACTGAACAGGTCTCTGTTTACCAAAGCTGGGAGCCTTGGGTTTGATGTGCACACAGCTCTCCCGACTCAGAGTCGAAGTATCATTAATGGATGCACACAGGTCTTTTGAAAAGACCCAGACACAGCTATGCTACCTAATAAGAGGGCTAAACACATAGGTACTTAGCGGTAAAAAAAAGAAAGAAAGAAAGAAAGAAAGGAAGGAAGGAAGGAAGGAAGGAAGGAAGGAAGGAAGGAAGGAAGGAAGGAAGAAAAGAAAAGAAAAAAGAAAGAAAAAAAAATTATGACCAAGACAGAAAAAGAAAATTTGTCATGATAATGGGAAGAATCAGATCTTTGTACTTCCTTAGAGTTATTATTTAGTTTGTTCATTCTTTCTTGCTTCCTTTCTTTCTTTTTTTTTTTTTTTTAAGTATATATAGGAGGAAGGACAGAAATGCTAGGGGCTGAGTGGAAGTGAAGTGGTACCATGTACAGTTCCAAACTCAAGGCCTTTCAAAGGCTCACTGCAGCCCGGGTCCATTTTATCCAGAAGACCATTCCCTCACTCTCTACCAAGCCATACGTGCATCTGTATTTCCACACGCAGGGGAAAAAAAGTTTGCGAACTTCCACTCTGGAATTCTACGGCCCTCCACGTGACCCTCTCTTTCCTGTGTGTTCCAGGGACCCCAGCACCTGTAATTGGGGCACAGGTTCAGAAGTTGAAAGAACACTAATTCCGAGGCGCTGTTCATTATTAGGCCCCATCACCGACCACCGACAGGTCCCAGGCCAGGCAACTGGAAAGCTTCCTACCTTGGAAGCCAGACACGTTTCCCGCGCTGACATCCTCGGGTGGAATCCTGGTTCCCAGGTATTGCTCCTTAGGAATGATGCCTAGTTTGGAATTTTAGGCCACCCGCCACCCCTTTACTAAGTATTAGCCACCTGAACCATACTTGCCAGCATTCAGCCAAACCCCACACATCCCAGGGCGCAGAGGAACAAGTTTCAACAGCACCCTGTGCAATGGCTCTCTGACCCAGGCGATGAACCACAGCCCGCTGGTGGCTCTGCTGTTGTCATTAAGCGGGTGGCCTAGGAGGCCAGAAAGCAAGCTCAGGAGATCACGCCACAAACCCTGCCTCCTTCAGCCTCCCACTCTACCCGCGCCAGGTGCTTAGTCCCTTCTAATTGAAGGGAGGATCTCAATCAGGTCTCTACTCGAAGTGCGGAACGAAATCCATCTCAGGGCATCTTGGGAAATGTAGTCCCTACCACCTCCAGGGGGTCCCCCTGTCCGCTTACGAGACCCCCCAGGAGGGATTTCTTCGCGTGGATCAGCTGAAACCATAGCTGCAGTCCGAGTGTGGAGGGGAGGGCGCGTCCCGCCAAGGACTCGGAGTGTTTTCGCGGGTCGGAGCGAAGGGAGAGAACTACACTTCCCACGCGGCCTTGCGCGGAGCTGGGAGCCGGCAGCCTGTCTGCGTGACCGCGGCAGGTTGGTCCTGGAGCAGATGAGCGCAGAATATTTAGGCGAAAGCGCACGGAGGGGGGTTGCGCGGGGAAGGAGGAGTACCTCGGCCAAGAAAATTATGCATGCGTTAGGGAAGCTGTGAGAGAATGGCTGTGGAAGGTAAGGGACGCTTGGGCATTTTATGCCCCCTCTTAACCCGCGCACCCCAATACACACATCCCCGGTGAATCTTGGGGAACGTGGGGAGGAGAGGAAAGAGGGTGGTGGCGAGCCGGCCCTTTCCTCCTTCACCTCTTGGCGCTCACCTGAGCCACGGAAGGCTAGTAGGCGCTTTATTCAGTTGCTTTGGAAAGACACGTATGTGCGCAGGACTTGGCGCTTGCAGACGAAGTGTCCCTAATGTGAAACGATGTGCCGGAAATGGGGGGAAAGCCTGAGAGTCAGGCAGGAGGTCTTAGCCCCGAGGTGCCCCTTTCGCGGTCCCCTCCCTCTGGGGCCGACTAGCTGGGTGATCAGCGGGGCGGCCACTGGGCAGGGGATGCTCGCTTGCGCCCCACACCTTGGCGAGGACCCCGGCAAGGTGCGTCATCAGGAAGCATGCACTGCGATTGGGTCGAGGAATCCAGGGCCCCTCGTCGTCTGCATAGGGCAGGGGCAGCAGCAGATGTGCCCAAGGGAGTGGAGGTGCCCCTACACCTGTCTCTGTTGATACAACCCTCCCGGGATTTCAAAGTTTACAGAAACGAAATGGAATCAGCCAGGGGTAAAAAGGAGAACCAACCTATTGGATTTGGGTGAATTCACCCCCAAAGACCACCTGCCCCTTTCCTGGTATAGTTCTGAAGCCTTTGGCTTTGCAGTTTGGGCTCAGCAGTCCTGCCTCCTTTAAACTTTCTGGTTGAAAGCAGGGACGGGCGGTTTGTGAGGGATCCCGTTTTCATTTCAGATTCTCTTAGATCGGAACACAGGCTTTCTTGTGGAGGGCAGTTTCTGGGGGGAAATGTGTAGACCAGGCATGGTTGTGATGTCAGATTAGAGGTCAAACTGATAAAATGAAGAAAAAAAAATCATGGGACTAAAGGGAGCCTAGTTCACCTACAGAATTGTGGTTCCTGAGTGTGGCTCAGGTCAGAGGAGAAGGGGTTGGGGCGGGAGGTAGGAAAAAGGGCCTGCCTGCTAGTTGCATCAGGCTTCCTGCCAAGGGGAAATGAGCCTGTTCCTTGTAGACTGGAGGCAAGAAAGAACCATAAGGACTTGCTTGCTTTCCTCTCGGCTCCCCACCCCAGGTGAGAGAAATGAAACTAATTTGACTCTTGCGCTTTATAATTACTTCACCTGAAGTAGCAACAACCCAGCTCCTGGGCACAGCTCCCATGAATGCAGGGAACTACGGCCTTTGGGCTATCTCAGGTTCAGAGATCCCTAGCTGGCCACCTCTGGATATCTGTCTATCTATATCTAATATATTTATTTCTATATTTGTGGTTTTTAATTATATATAACATATATGCCTCTGAAAAGAACAAACCAATAGCCAAAGTCTTTTCTAAGTTTTCTGTGCAAATGTAATAATAGGGTAAAGATCTGGCTTTTTAAAAAATGTATTTTTTTAATTGATTTCAGAGAGGAAGGGAGAGGGAGAGAGAGATAGAAACATCAATGATGAGAGAGAATTATTGATCGGCTGCCTCCTGCATGACCCCCACTGGGGATCTAGCCCCCAACCTGGGCACGTACCCTGACCAGGTATTGAACAATTACCTCCTGGTTTATAGGTCAACACTCAGCCACTGAGTCATGCTGGCCAGGCAAGATCTGGCTTTTTGCATGTTAGAGTTGATGATAAGTGAGACATGATTTCAGATTAAACAAACTGACAAAAAACACACACAAAAAACCAACAAGGTAAAGTTCACCCTGAGCTTGGGGTCAAGGGTATATTGACCTATGAACACCCCTCTACCTACCTCATTCCTCAGATGACATTATTACCTCTTCTGTTCCCCACTTTTGTGTATCCCCAATGAGGGACACTCCACAATGTGCTTGAAAGCAATTTCCTGCTCACTGGAAGAAGTATAGAATTAGTCGTATTTCTTGTCTGATGGGTTATTATACCCACAAAAGCAAGGGCCTTGGAAGGAAATACACATGGACAGCGGATAACTTATAAGGAAGATAAATCTAGTGACTTATTTGGTTAACCTGCCTTTCTAGTAAACAGGAGATCCGGAGTTTGAATCACAATGAGGTCTCCACTTGAAGAATGAAGTAGTTTAAACTTTGGCTACAAATATGATTCCTCTCTTCTCTGGTTTTGCAAAGGCAGTTTTCTCTGCCCAGACTGGGCCCTTCCTGGCTACTTTCATTTGGTCTTTCGACGCTCCCCTGGGAACCTGTCCCAGCCCTCCTTTTTGTCTGCCTTCCAGCACTCTGTCCTATCTATGGGAGGTGCCTTCTGCACTAAGCATCCCTACCCTACACCTGTGCTTGCTTCTGTCCTAACTCTTACCACACTTAATCTCTCTCTCTCTCTCTCTAGACTATGAGACTGTAACCTCTTGGGGATTGGAACCATGCTCTCTTTGACTTTATATTCCTAGCACAGTACCTTACCCATAATAGGTACTCAATAAATGCTCTTGGAATGCATGGGAATAAATGCGCAGAGCTTTTGTAAATGACTCCATGGAGCATGGGACTTGCTTTGGATTCCAGAGTTTGAAGGTAGGGGGCACTTTTAAAGGATGTGCCCCTCTCTTTGGTCTTGTGCCTTGATACTCAACCTTTTAGACTAGTGGTTCTCATCTGAGGGGGCATTGCCCTCCTCAGGGGTGTGTGGATATGTAGGGACTGCTGCTGGGGTTTGCTGTTGGTATTTTGTGTTCATGAGCCAGGGATGTTAACACTCCCTCAAGGCAGGGTCATCACATACAAAGTTCCCAGCCCAAAACCAACTAATGACCAGTGTCCACAAGCTCATTGAGAAACACTGACTCAGAGAATAAGAAATTTTTCCAGAGGAACTGGAATCGGAAATATAATGTATGTTCATCAACACCTGAACTTGTAAAAGTGTTAATAGCAAGTAAGGAGCTCATTCATTTTGTTGAAGCTTGAGTTTAAGAGGAGGAAGAGGTGCCCTTTGTTTATTGTTTGATGGATACCTGATTTGTGTTTTCTTCTTTGAATTTATTGACAACAGCCTACTTCTCTGTTCCCTACCCTGACCAATCAATGCCTTGTTGCACTTATGGGCATCTGGGCACCTTGGAGTTGTGCTTTCTAGCCATAGGACATGTGATGGTCTGCATTCAGATTGGGATTATCTTGGCATCCAATGTCTCTTAAAAAACAACAACAACATTGCATTGTAATAAATTACCCCAAATAGCTGGAGAACTAGGACTGCTAGAAAGAAGGTAGCATGAAGAATTCACAAGGCGATTCACTGTCCATGGATAGACGGTGTGTCCAGTGAGGCATTGTTGAATAACAGAAGTGGGTTGCAGTATTATACAGAGAGAAAAAGAGTGGATTCATTAGGGACTGTGTTGTATTCATCTCATTACTCCAAGATTGGTGCCTGGCACTTAGAGGGCCGCAGTGGTTGTTTCATGAATGAAGTATAAACGTTCCTAAGCAAGAGAAGGGTTTTCCAGACCCCTGTCCCCAATTTATCTCCTTGCTTCATCCACAGAGCTTCAAGTAAAGTGAAGCAGATGAACCTGTACATAGTGTTTCTATTCCAAATCTAATAGGATAGCCACTCTTACTGGCAGAAAGATAATTTCTAATATTCAGCATCCTCCGCCCCCCCCCACCTCCCCCACCCCCACTATGTGAAGATTGCAATCAGAAGGCTATGTGCTCTAAATGACATCTGTGTTAGGGAATCAGAATTTTCCATCTTAAAGTGAACAAATTGACATATCAAATGGTCTCTTGATGAGTTATTCAGTGCTCAGGTTCTACAGTTTTTCTCCTGTAAAAGAGTGAAAAAACTGCCCATTATCAAATATTGTTAAGATATGTAATGACAGCAGCTGAGAATAAGAGCAGATGAGAGAGACACTTGCAGCAGTTGGAAGCAGTTGGAAATGATGGTTCTGGACCCTGCTTGAATTCAGAACTGAGTCACAGAGAGTGACAATAGGAGATAAAAATGTCATGTTTATTGCAAGGCCACATGGGTCATTTTTTCTGGCTTTGGGTTGAATGATAAAGTGGTACTAATATTGTACCTCAAGAGTGAAACTGCCCTCACAGAAGTGCCTATGATACTGACAGCTGGACAGCAGAGAGAATGGGGCTCCCACAGCAGGCAGGGGGACCTCAAGGGAAGGAGGGAGGCCCCAGACACCTGTGTTTCGTTGTCTTCTCCTCTTTTGAGCAAAGCCCATGAGGGCGTGGAGAGAGACCAGAAGTGTCATTCTCATGGCTCTCCCCTTGTAGGACACAGGAAGGAGGAAGATGGCTGTCTTGGTGCCAGCACCCCTGTGTCTTTCGAACTACATTTCCTCGCTGGGAATTATTTGTTGGCACCTCTTCTACTTGGTGGTGGTTTCTGAGGGCGGCAGTGTGTCTTAGGCCTGGCCTATGGTAGACCCTGCATGAAGTTTGTTGAATGAATGAATGAATGAATGAATAGGATTTTGGGTGCTTCTGATTTCCACAGAGCCCCCTTTTACCCCTACGGTAAATTCCCAACTGTGTTCATCTACAGAGTTAGATGTTGTAAAAGCAGTGGGACTGTGGACAAGTTTCCCTAGCAGGTACTTATGGTGTTACTATTCAACTGACTGCTACCCCATTTCACTTACACCAAGGTCTTTTTTACCCTCTTTCTAATTTTTATTTTGTTCCCAAAGATCTGATCCTCCCTCACCAGCAGCATCTATGAACCACTCTTTAGGGCATGAGAGTGGTGGATAGAAGCCCATCGCTGACAATTCCTGCCTAGTGACAGCGGTGGGGCCTCAGACTTGCTGTGGTGGTGGTTCCTGCCACTCCCCTCTCTTCCTGGCTGGGGACCTCACAGCCAGTTCAGACAGGGCTTCAGGCTAACCCCACTGTTGCATTGCCCAGCCCAGCCCAGCCCTTACTAATTCCTTTCAGCCCACCCTTCCTTTCTCATCCTTCTTGCCTTACTCATACGC